TCATTCCGAGTACTTTCCGGGAGTGAATTTGCAAAACTTGCGCTCTTGTGCAACCCATATAAAATATCGATTAAAACTATTGGACAGAACATGAAATTCACGAAAAATTTATGGGAGGTAGTGGTAGGGGGAGTCTATTACGAGACTTACAATACACAAACGCTACACAGACAATTAGACAAAACTCGGAGAAACGATTTGACGTAGCCGCTAGACATGACAATCCCCTCCTCAGGCAAGCCGTTGACTACGTACCCGACGTGACCGACAAACACAAAAGACCTAGACACCAACTTTTTGACACTGGGTGACCACCCCAATGACCCTCCCCCCTGCCCGCTAACCTTTTCTGTTTCAGAGACAGCCAGGATCAAGAAACGAAGACAACGACACACATACACACCCCCCATACCCTCCTTAACCCTCCCCTCCCGCGCTAGCCTAAGGGCCACCTTAGCAAAGCGCATCCCTACCCAACCATACCACACATAAACATGACACTACCCCCGGGGTTTACACAGACGAGCCGGCGAAGCAAGAAGAGCGCCAGAAGAAAGGGCCCTATCCGGCGGGGCCCAGCCAGGACAAAAGGAGGTCCCACAAAGCGCCTACAACGGCCGCATTTGCGGTCGGGGTAGACGACGGATGGGGCCCACCTACGAAGGCTGTCCAGGCCTACACGAGATGAGGCAGGATAAAGAGGGATAATTTCCCTCGATCCCAAATCATTGAGGCCAATTTCTAGCCATAGAATAATGGCGCGGTAGGGGGAGTCAAGAGCTCGGCTACTCCGACCGACTCGAAATTGAAATCGCGCGATCAAAATAGCGGCGCGCTTAAAAATTTTGATTATCTCGGCTTCTAAAGGTCCGATTTTGATGTATTTTTTAAATCGATGTCTCGCGAGCTGAGAAGTCCAAATATCGCATTTTCAAATGCGAATTATTGTTAATTATCGACCTATTAACGTTTAAAGATATAAACAATTACCATGGTTCTCCTAATTATCGGATTTCAATTTTTCTGGACGCATTTTAAAGCCTGAGTGCCCATTTTTATGTGATAAAATTTTCAAGTATCTAGAAGTCTTAATTTAGGCTCGGTTAAATTTGCAAAAATTTCATTTTTTTTTCAAAAATTGAATTGCAAAATTATTACTCGAAAACTATCGGACCGATTTTAACGAAAATTGGTGTGATGTTTTATTATATCAAAAAGATTTTTTTGTCCAAGTATGAAGATCCTACCTATATTGTAATTTTTTTCGCTTTTTTTGTTGTATTTGCTATATTTGCAATAATTATGTTATATTTTTTTATTTGAAAATAGGTAGGTATATAATGTGTAATTTAATTACGAATCTTTTTTTCCTCTTCAATTTTTCTCTAAAATGAATAGTTTTTGAACTGTGTTGGAAAAAGAGGAAAAAAAATTGAATTTTTTTCAATTTTTTCAATATTTGTTTAATAATAAGTTTAGCACACGTTTTTGAAGCGCGTGCATAGTGAAATTATGTTTTGTTATATCATTTTGAAGCCATTAAATCAAAAATTAGCAATACAATACAAATATATTCAACTATACAGGGTGTTCCACTTTTCGTGGCCAGACACCAACTTTGGAATGGAAACACACATTTTTTATATTTTTTTCTGTAAATCTTGTAAATCTGGAATATTAGTTTGGTAAATACTTGTCAATAAACAGTTACCATGAGTTTTACTAATTGTTCTATTATCTATTTACTAATTCTTATTTAGAGTAATTCATTTCACAATTATTACTGTCGCTTTTCTATTAAACCTTATGGGAATCGAAAGTTTTCCATATTATCCTTTGACAGGAGCCTACTACGTTATTTTACATATGTATAAGCTATTTGTAAACTTCGCATTTTTTCATAAAAAATGAGATTTCATGAAAAACTAATGGATTTTGGTATGGGAGCAGGTATAGCAAAGTTGTAGGGAATTAAATCCCTATGTATGCATCTCATGGTATGAAAATATACAGGGCGTTGCATTTAAAAAAGTCGAAATTTTTCAATTTTTCAATTGTCAATTTTGACATGATATTTTGGTCACCCTGTATAACGCAGGCCAGTTTTTGGAGCATGATTCGGAAGAGTCATCCTTACTAAACATCTGATAAAAAAATGGGTTTAGTAGCTAGTAATATAACCTGTCAGTATCTATCAGAAAATGTAAGCAACCAATATCGACTAGAAAAACCTTTCAAGAGAGATATCTCAAAAACTGTGAATATTTGAATAGAACTATTCTACACAAAGTACCCTTTATTTTTGATGTAGAATCCGAAAAAAATATAAAAAATGTGTGTTTCCATTTAAAAAACCAAAGTTGGTGTCTGGCCAGGAAAAGTGGAACACCCTGTATAGTTGAATATATTTTTAATTTGTACATTCCGAGAAATGTGACAACACAGTAATAAAAAAAATTCATATATTCCTCATTTTAACATAGATATTGGACTTTCCCGCACTAGTGGGACACGCTGTATAAAACATCCATACATGAGTGTTTTGAGACAGATCTCGCTTGGTCTAAAAGGAATTGCTTCTAAAAATGCGAAACTGCTATATAGTAGGATCATATTCGATGCAAAGTAATAAATCATTGGCTGTCAAGGGAACCAATGAAGTACGCTTTTAAGGGTTTTACAAATTGAATAATTTCTTTATACATTATGAAGGGACGAGGGGATCAGTTCAGGTCTGGCACCCTTGTTCCTACAAAAATTCCTTTATTCTCATAAACTATTTATTTTAAATGTAATTTATTATAAATCCAATTTGTTTCCTAAATTCCACATATGTACTACATTTTACCTCTGTACGCGCCACTGTTGTTTACTTGTTTTTTGGAAGCGTTCTCTAATTGACGGCAAAGCTCGCCAGGCATTTGACGTATAACCGACCAGTTCGTACACTCGATGCACCTGGGCGACTACAGCTACTACCAGAACACAGTGCGTATGCAGCGGTATTTCAGATTTTACATTGAATTTCATTTTAAATTTGAAATGATTTATCTTACGCCTCCTAAAAATGATGACACGATTTTCCTTTGATAAAAGACCGACAACTTTTTGCTCTACTTTGCATCGAATACGATCCTACTATAGTGGCGCTGAAGCGAGAATTTAGCCAATTTAAAACCAAAATTGATACAGTTGGCGCAGAATTTGAAATTGTCTTGACGTCACAATGCATATCTGAATTTTTTAGGACTTAAATATGGCCTATGACCTATGCTGCCCTGTTAAGCCATAAAGTCGTAACTGTCAAATAGTTGATTTTGAGATAATTAACATTTTCTCTAGTCTAATTTGCCGTGAAGACTATTACATTCAGAAAAGATATTTTTATTATATAATACTAATTTTTACTTGCAGATTTTGTTTTTTCACTTTATTTTGTTGTGCATACAGCCCGAGTATGATATTTGACACATACGAAATTTTCTGTTAATAATGATGAAAATTGAAACTATGAGAAAAGTAGTATCTACAATAAATTTCAATTGTTCATTAATTGTTATTTACCTATTACTATCAATTTTTAACTGATATTGTTTCTTACAATTTGTGCAAGATGCTTTGATTTGATATTTACTCTTACTGGTCTTGATTTTAATTTGATTTCGTTCAAATTTACTTAGAGCGTATTTTTTTCTTTTGCGTAATTCGCCTTTTTTAGTAAATTCGGCATTGCTTGCAGAGAACCAGATATTTTCAAAATTTCGTCCATAATGCCCTTTACTACTTCTGAAAAACATTCATTAGAAACACGCAATATAATATTGCTCAAAATATTAACTTTTGATTTTTTTCTCCATTATACACTCTCTACAAAAACTCTTCCTTATATAACGATGCGTTGTTTATGACCTTTATTTTTGTTTTTACATTTGTAATATCTTTAAAACTTTTACAATTACTACTACTACTACTACTACTATCACTAGCCCTATCCATTTCTTCCATATCTGGCTCATATTCGCTGCTACTACTATCTATCATCCTCCCGCTGCCTTTTTGAATAATTCAACTTTTTTAAAAAATCGATTTTCTCAGCAAGTTGCTTGTTCAGAGCAAGAGCAACCATAACTTTACCCCGTTTACTCATATTGGAAATTGTTTGAAATTCTTAACTGTAACGAAAAAAAAAAGATACTGACCATTTACCATGTTTTTTAAGTTTTAGGTTATGTTTGATAATATGCATAATTAGATTAACAGGAACAAAAAATGTAATTACTTACTAAATAAACAACTCCGGGGATACGTTATAATAAATATTACTACCTCACCCTTTAACAGTCTAGAATGAATGAGACTAATTAAAAACTGAAAAATTTTCACAGCAAATCACTGTTTATCTGCCAGCTAGTTACAAACTGAATCTGACAGGTGGTAGATATTATTTTGTAGATGGCGCAGTTGTACAGTTGTTAGTACAGTCACTAAATTACAGTCACTAGATAACATATGTTATCCAGTGACTGTAGATATGTTATTTAGTGACTGTATAGTGACTGTAGTTGTTAGACGAATTGGTCGTATCTGTGTGATAAATATTACAGATACGACTTTTTATTCTAACATTTTCAGATACGACTTTATTTCTAACAAAGGCATGGAAATTGTAGATACGACATTCACATTTTGAGGTATATAGCCTATAATAATAACAAATTCGTCATTTTTTCTTAACAAAATGATAAAATTGATGTCGTGGAGTATTAGTAACCCTGTACTTGAAATTGGGGATTATTGCAGTTACGACTTTATGGCTTAACAGGGCAGTATGGCATTTCAACCTATTTTTAGATTTTGACGTAGTGAAAGAGTTTGCACTCTTTCAATTCGGAACGCTTTACTGTATTATGTGTTTGATGGAAAATACCACGGAAATTATATAGGGGGGAAAATTCAAGTATGTTTACCGAGAATTTATTACAATCAAAGCAGACACGTACCATCATGAGGGTCTTTCCTCTTAAGGAAGACTTCTCATCCGGTTCCAATATTCTCAGCTTGACAAAACATATCATAGCGGCCTTCTCCACGCAGGAGTGCGCCTCTTTGGAACAATACGCCATTAATTTCGACAAAAGTACCCCCTCCTCCACGAAGGGGTGCTGTTGTTTCAGTCTTTTCAGTGCTTGAGCCCTGGCGGCCAGCATCGAAACCAGCACGCACTCGCTGGCCGAGGTCTGAAAAGTGTTTTTATCGATTATTATTTTTTCATACGAATTTGTCATTGCAAAAAATAAAATGAGCTGCAAATACTAATGAATTAATGAACAGTATTTACCATGCAATTATTAAATAAATAAATAAACTTTAAATAAAATACAGGCTGTTACAAATTCGCTTCTCACTACAGGGATTTTGGAAACGGTAAGAGGTACGAAGTAGCTTAAACGGGGGCAAAGTTGCGTAATCGGGGGACCAACATTATGCCTCTAAAAAATCAAGACTAACATGATTAGTTTTCGAAATATTTGAAAAAAAAACGAAATTTTGGAAATCCGTTTTTGCTTAATTTCAGCCTTGTTTGAGGTGGTATTGAAAAAAGAACAACACTTTCTCATGGCCACTTCTTGCTCTCTATCGAATAACATAATCAATTTTTGTATGTAACGTTTCGTCTCTCCAGGACCATCATCAACTTCATTTTTTTAAATATGAACCTAAAATTTTTATTAAATTTTTTGCAAGCCTTCATGACCCCCAATACTGTACTGCCTCAGCCCGTACCAGATTCAGACGTTTTGTCTCGAAAAATTCATCTTCAGCGTATTCGTTCCAAATTTATCTAAATTTTTTCTTTGTTTATTGAATTATCGTACACTGTAAGTATCGTTAGACCCTGTGAAATACATCTAGTTATTTAAACTATTACCACCACGCGTTACAATGAAACATTTATTATTATTAACTATTACCATCGCTTGGTCATATACAGGGTGTCCCAAAAGTGACGCCCGTCCTTATGGGTTTTGATTGAGGGGACAAAAACAAATAGAAAATCAAGAGTGGAAAATTTTCCGATTGTTTTTCTTTGCTGAGTTATTCAAAAAATAATTAAAAAACTAAAAATAAACATTTGGGCTGGGTTATTAAAAATTTATGTAGTTCAAAGCTGTATTTGCTGTAGCTGTATGTTTTTAAATGAAAACTTACCATTGCCATTGCTACATGACGTTCCGTTAGCAGTTAGACTAAATTATTGGTTTCAACATGATGGAGCTCCATCACATTATGGTTTACGAATATAAAATTATCTGAATCAAAGCTTCCGAGACAGATGGATTGGAAGAAGTGGACCATGGCCTGCTGGATCACCAGATCTGAATCCCCTAGATTTTTCTTTTGGGGTTATTTAAAAGAAAAGATTTATAGTCCGTATATACACTGCTGTCGCGTTAATAGACCAAGAGATGCTACAAAGAGTTCATACTTTAATGTTGAATCGTGATGAGCTTTGTCTTGAAGTAGAAGGCAACTTATTTGAACACCTTTTGTAAAAACAATTTCTATTATTTAAGTCCATTATGGTTTTAGTTTATGTTTTATTATAAAAAAATGTTTTTCTCTAACCTTTTCAGGTTAAAATAATTCCTTACACCCAGGTACAACCGACAATCGAAAACTATACTTATCTACTATTGGTTATAAATTATACGTCTTGGTTCCCATAAGCACAGACCTCAGTTTTGAGACAAAAAAAATGGATTTTCACTTTTTTAGTTTTTTTAATACTTTTTCGAATAACTCAACAACGGAAAACAATCGGAAAATTTTCCACTCTTGATTTTCAATTTGTTTTTGTCCCCTTAATCAAATCCTAGAAGGACGGGCGCCACTTTTGGGACACCCTGTATAACTCAATAAATTGTTGCGTCAAAATTAAAACATTATTACAATTTTAATTTTATTATGACAAATTAATTCTTAAAAATTAGGTTAAGGTTAAAAATGACGATCAGCATAATATTATCGGAATTTATTATATCTGTAACCGCAACTGTGAAAGAGCATGTCAGATGTATTTGTATGAATATCCCGAAAAAAATAGATCGGAATTTGTTTGAATTTTGAGCACTCGACAAGCCTAGAAATAATTATTGACACGGGAATAAAACTCTAATGTTTTATTTTAATGCGTGGTGGTAATAGTTTAAATAACTAGATGGATTTCACAGAGTCTAACCCTATTAGAGTTACAAAAATTTAGATAAATTTGGAACGAATACACTGAAGATGAATTTTTCGAGACAAAACGTCTGAATCTGGTTCGCCCTGAGGCAGTACAGTATTGGGGGTCATGAAGGCTTGCAAAAAAACTAATAAAACTTCTAATTTAAAAAAATGAAGTTGATGATGGTCCTGGAGAAACGAAACGTTACATATTAATTATGCCATTCGATAGAGGGCAAAAAGTGGCCACACGAGAAAGTGTTCTTTTTTCAATATCACCTCAAATAAGGCTGAAATTAAACAAAAACGGATTTCCACGGTTTTTTGAAATATTTCGAAAACTAATCATGTTAGCCTTGATTTTTTAGATGCATAATGTTGGTTCCCTGATTACACAAATTTGCCCCCATTTAAGCTACCCTAAGATCCCTGTAGTCAGAAGCGAATTTGTAACAGCCTGTGTATTCTACTCTTCTTAACATCATCATAACATCACTTTGAGCAAAGACCAAAGTTGTAACATAACTTTGAACAAAGACTAACGCAAAATTCAGCGGCGATAACCTATTTAATACCTATGAATATTCATAATATGCTTATTAAACTTCCCTTGTTTGTGAAACAAAATGTGATGTGGTTTCAAATCCGCAAAATTCGATATGCCCTGGAGATTTAGAAAAATCGGTTATAATTCACCAATGAAGTGCCCCATTTCTACACGGTGTCCCACGCATTGCAACATCTTCTTCGAGAAGCACTTTCAAAAAAAAAACTTTTTGACAAAAGTTGTAGGGTTCTGAGGGAAACGTTCGATGGTGATTTCAAAGGCCAACTTGGATTTTTAGATATGATAAATATTTCTTACACTGGAAGCGGACAATTTTGCGCTCCGATATGTCTTTATGTTATGGGTCAAAGTGACCCTATAGGGTTATTTTAGGTTCAAATAAGCTTCTTAATAACATTTTGCGGTATTTTTACGACGAAAGATTTATGGTTTGATGGATCATACGATGATGACTTTGACCATGACCTAGAGGTCAAGCTTGAAAATTCTTTGAAGGTCAAATCAACTTAGGAAAAAGGAGAACCCTATTTGCAGCCCCAGGCAAAATCGTTATGGTCCAGTCAATCAGAGCAAGATCGATATAACCCGACCAATCAAGGCAAGGTCACTCGTAACTTGATTTGACCTTCAAAGAACCTTCAAGCTTGACCTCTAGGTTATGGTCAAGGTCTTCATCGTATGACCCTTCAAACCATAAAACTTTCAACCAAAATCCTTCCGTCGTAAGTGCTTTTCCGAAAAATATCGGAAAATCTCATTCAGAACTATATTTGACCCTTTAGGGTCGCTTTAACCCGTAATATAAAGACATATCTGAACGTCAAATTTTCCGCTCTATCTATTTCCGGTGTTAGAAATATATCTTTAATATCTAAAAATCCATGTTGAAAGTAATCAGATTTATCTAAATTCCCAAGGCTTATGGGATTCTACGAATTTTAGATCAAGGCATATTTCTCAAACTAACAGCTTGGATCTCAGGAGATCAGCCATACCAACATATTTTATCTTTTTTTAAAGGATCATTTCATCTATCAGGTGTCTTTATCCAAAGTGATATTACAGCTGTTAGAAATACCAACAGGATACTCTTCTTTGAATGTTTGTAACATCAATTAATAATTTAAATAGGTACATCAGGTACACAAAATTCATTTAGCCCTGAAGCGCGCAGGTCGAAAAGAGAGCCCACTTCATTTAGAATGAGATGAAAATGCAGGCAGCAGGAAACCCATAATTCCCCACTCGACCACTTCCTACCGTCAGAAATGAAATGAATTTGGTTTACCTGTATGTATTTTTTCATAACTATTATTTGGATACATTATTTTTCCTTTCATATAATTCTTTTGTTAACATCAGTGGCGGCACGTGAAGGAGGACTCTCAGACTCCGCCCCCCAGATATTTTCAAACTATAAACTTAAAATAATGTATTTATTTAAATCAATAAGAAATCTAAATATCATATCATAGCATATCTCTTGGATGTTAGGTTGGTTGCATAAAGTGCATGTACTCCGTGAACGTAGCTCAGATTAATGCCATCTGCCATCTATGATCGTACCAAAGACTTATGTTTAACCGCGCGCGCAATCCCCAGTCCATCGCGGACGGTGAAATCGTAGTCCACCGTGCAAGCATATTTTTACATATGATTGGACAAATTGGCACGTGGAGGGGTAGGCGGCGATAGGCTCGTGCGCTTTATTTTGGGACTCAATGTGGCAGTATCCCGTATCACTGCAGTGTAGTTATACGTGTTTTGTTTTTGGTTTGGCGCTTTTTAAGACATTATATTTTATAAGTTTAAGTTTAAAATGAGGGTTCGTGAAATAAAAAAACTTGTTATTAGTAATTTAAGTTTAGAGGAAAAAGTCGAATTGAAAAATAACGGACGTCCAACGCCAGTGTTGAATTTAGTTCAGGTACAGAAAGAGTGCAAAAGTAGGCCGGCTTTTATTCGCAAATTTGATAAAAACATTTATGATAAGACCCTGTGGTTGTGTGGTTGTGACCAAACAAATAGATTTTTTTGTTTTGTATGTTTATTGTTTGGAGGAGGCGAAGAAAACTGGACGAAAACTGGAGTTTCTGACTTGAAACATTTAGAAATTAAAATTAAGAAACATGAAAATTCTCCTAAACACAAAAATAAGTTGGTGAGTTTTTTACTTTTAGGAAGAGTAAATATTGCTTCTTGTTTAAATAG